CATATCCAGCCCACAAGGTAGAGAACCTGTATTTTCCATCACAGCAAGATTCTCACCATCTAGACAGAAGCCATTCAGAGCAAGTGGAAGTGTCCAGAAGTCGACAAGATCAGGCAAAGGAAACAGAACAAAGCACACGGAACAGAGCTGATGGCAGGGACAGATGGATATGAATAAAATGATACAAAGAGCACATGAGAACATTGAAAGGACAAAAGACTCGCAAGAAATATAAACATGATTTCCCAATTCAATATTTAAAAGATGAGTTAAAGAGAATGATATTGCTGTTGATAACACGAGTTTAAGGTCTGTAAGATCGAGTGCTAGGAATGTCTCAGAGAAGAGACCCAAAGAAATGAGGAGATGGAAAAGAATTAGGAAAAACAAAAAAAAGAATCAGATTCTAGGTTCAGGATACAATAAAAAATACAGAAAGAGAAATAGGGTAATATTTGAGTAGCAAGAAATTGAACCAATAATACAAATCATAGAAAATATTTCTGTCATATTCATAATAAAACAAAACCATTAACACATTCTAGGCCATCTTAATTAGAAAGCATACAGGGCTCTCTTGGTATGTTTCTGAAATTTAAGGATGAAGAGAAAATTTTACAGTATTCAAGGCACAAGGAATAAAACACACTAAGAAAAGGTCAAACTAACACTGCATTTCGTATCTGCACACTATAAATTGAGGACTAAAGAGTAAGACATGGACCATAGAGACACAGGACTGAACGCCAAGAATCTGTACGATAATCAACAAGTTATCATCCGCTTGCCGGGGCCAAAGAAAGATGTTTAAAGAAACATGAGAATTCACAGATATGTGGCCCACATACCTATTCAGGAAAATGTTTAAGAACAGACTTTATCCAGAAATAGGGGCAGAGGACCACAGGAAACACTTAAATACCCAGGGATGGGGAGAAGATAAAATGGTAGAAAAGAATATTGGGCACTTTGAGAGAGATATACATGTATAATAGTGTTTGTTTATGCATATGTGTATGTATGTACATGTGTCTGGGAATGTGTCATATAGTGTTAATTAAGGAACAAATTATGAAAAATAAATATTTATCTCAAAAAATTATAATTGGAGGAGAGAAAGAGGTAAGGGAAATAAAAAATATTCTAAATCTCTAATGGGAGTAGCAAAAAGGATATGAAAAGGTGAAAATAAAACTGTTCTGACATTATCATTTCCTTGGAGCTCAAGGAAAAATGGCATATTTTGGTGGAGGAAATGTTAGAGAAATTTAATAAAGAAATTGAAATAACAAAGAAAGGCAGAAAACAGAAGAAGGGACAGAAACTAGAGCTATATCACTCAACATGCCTTGTTTGATAGGTTTGACTTTGCAAACTTGTAAATATTTCACATGATGAAAATCTCAAAGGAAAAGAAGCAATCCTTAAATATGGAATCTTTTAACATTAATTTGAATTGGAAATATCCTTAAAAGCTGAGAATTTTTTTCTTTAAAAATATATTTCTAAAACAAAAATATTTCCTTGCTTTGTAACTGAAAAGCTTAGAACACCCTTAGCAACCAGATTGTGGGCACTGAATTTCATTTCCCATTAAAACAAACAAAGATTTCAAGAGAAAAAATGAATTCCAGAGCTGGAGATGGAAATGCATAAGATGAGCCTGGGATATCTTGTGATTAATCAAAAGGCTAGTAAGGTTCACGGGTACCTGTTACAAACACAAAAATGTCAATCGAAGCAGCTCCTTCTGGTCCAAGATAGGATTATTCACGCAACAAAAATAATAATGACTGTGATGTACTGAAATACAACAACTATGCAAAACTACAATTTTGAAGATGGTATTCCCAGGAAGTAGGGCTTCATGCTGAGTTTTCTAGAACCCACTCAATACTTCTGAAAAATGGCTGATAAAGAATTAAGAGTATACCCTGTCTTGCTTCTATAGTATCAATTCCAAGGCAATCCCCTAGTTTGCAAGGGAAAGTTTTGTTTGTTTTGTTTTTAGTAAGAAAATAACAGTTCGGAAATTCAATAACAAAATCAAATTAGAAAATCACAACTTTGCAATTCCTAAGGAAATAATGTATCTAACCAATGGTCATCAGTGGCTGGAAAGACCATTAGGTGGAATATTGGTGGAAAATTTTATATGATTTATATTTTATAAATATCTTATAATTTTGAAAAGTATGGGTCAGGCTGGCAACACTTAGTCCTCTAATTGGACAGCCTGACATTTTGTTCCCTTTGACATGATTCAGTGGAATATACACATCTTTTAAGAATTATTCTTGCAAAAAACAAAAAGAAGAATGTAAATTTGTAAGTCACATTAATAGCTAACAGGAAATGTAGGGCTCAGGGGGAATATATTTAAATGATGGCATGAGGATACAACAGTCAAATCCAGAATAGGGAAAATTTTGATGGAAAATAACTTAGTGTTTTCAAGATATAAACAAACATCACAAAAAAGAGGGAGACCCATACACACTAATTGTTATATCAGAAATTTTAAAGAGTAAATGTAGAATATTTAAATCATGTTACAGTGCTATTAAAACCTTAATAAACATACAGGTGTAGGCACAATCATTATATATTTATTAAGAGCCACACTGTTACCTGACCCTTATGTAAGCGCTAAAATTGCTAGGGAGACGAAACTAATCCTTGACTTTATAGATCTTACAATTGACTCATGAAAAAAGTTTATATAAAGGAGGGGGAAAGTCAGTGGCCATGGTAATTATTGTAGACCCAAAACTGATTTTGAAATTGTGGCTCTGCAACTGAAGGTCTGAACCTCAGTTTCCCCATCTAGTAAAGGCAAGTATCCTTCATTTAACATATGCAGTTTCAAAGAGGATTGGATAAGGTAATGTTTTTTGGTTTTGGGGGGGGTGTTGTTTTTTGTTTTTCTGAGATGGAGTCTCACTCTGTTGCCCCAGCTAGAGTGCCATGGTGTCAGCCTAGCTCACAGCAACCTCAAACTCCTGGGTTCAAGCAATCCTCCTGCCTCAGCCTCCCAAGGAGGCTGCAACTACAGGGATGCACCACCATGCCCGCTCATTTTTTCTATATATTTTTAGTTGGCCAATTAATTTCTTTCTATTTTTAGTGGAGGCGGGTCTCGCTCTTGCTCAGGCTGGTTTTGAATTCCTGACCTTGAGTGACCTGCCCGCCTGGGCCTCCCAGAGTGCTAGGATTACAGTCGTGAGCCACCACGCCCGCCAAGGTAATGTTTTTAAATCACTTGCAAACATAAAGTATCCATATTTTTAAAAATTTAGTCATGCAGTAGTACCAAATGTAAGCAGTAGACATGTCCCATTTATTTAAAAGAGGGAATTACACGGAGTTAATTGGGAGTTAATGCAAATTTTCTGGGAAGGTTAGAGCTTGAGACCATTGCAGAATGAAAGCATAAGGAACCTTGCCCTGCTATTCTAAGTAGTTGCTCCAGCATCTGGTACTTTGCAAGGTGGGTAGTCAAAAAGAAAAGAAAAAAAAAAAAAAGCTTGCTACATAAATGAATGAATAAGAATAACGTGCTGTTAAGGCAAATTAGGATTTCCATTTCCTTTGGGTTACATGGACCCCACATGGAGACCCTTGCTAAGGGTGAGGCAAAAAATTGCCCTTGGGATGCTCATTTGATTGGGGTGAAGGACGTGATATCTTGTTCTTCAAGCTTTTATATATTTTCTCCCCGCCCCCAAATCAAGTTCAGTTTCCTTACTCTCTCAATATTATGTTTCAAGTAGTGCTAAGAAATTTTAAATGAGAAGCTGGAAAAATACCGCTTGTGTGATAAGCAGAAATAAGCATTATCTTTGGAACTTTTATTAACTATAAACTCTTTATACGTGGAGGCACCATAAAATTTTCAGTCCTCATACATTTTTTTTTCTCAATCTAAAAAAGATCCTTAGCTAACTAAGTAGTAAATGGTCTAGCCTATAGTAAAATTCATATATTGTCTCCAGCCAAAATTCAGTACTCCCTTTTTCCTTGAATCGTATAAAATATTTTTTAAAAATTAAAATGCCTTGACAATGGGGAAGAAAACCTGCTTTTAAATACCATGTGTTCCTACATTAAGGGGAGAAAGTTCTTCATTCTTTTGTCTTTACAAGTCGAACGTTGCAATACATCATTTGCATCCACTGATAACAGCTGTGGTTTGCACTGCCCGAGCAGAGCCAGGAGCCCCTTTCAGCCCTCGTTAACCGCGAGCCGTGCACGAATCCACCACGAGCGGTCGGTCTGCTCCGCTTCCTCGGCGGCGGACGCCGGCGACCGGCTGCCTCCCCGGATCGCGCGTCTCTCCGGCGGCAGGAGGATTAGACACATGCGCACGATTGGTCTCTTTGTGTACACCGGGAAGGGCTTGGCGTCGGTGTGCAGTCCCGAACCGGGCAAAGCCCTGGCAGGGCCGCGCGCGCTTGGGCATGAAAGCGCACTGTGAGCACGGCACCGAAACACACCATTGTCTCGCTCCCGTGGGGAGCCTCCCCGCCGCCCCTTCCCGTGTCCAGTTTGGGAGTGCAGGTTGAGAGCCCGGAACGGGGAGGCTTGTCCTTAGGAATCCCGCACCCGGGGGAGCGCTGCGGGCAGGGGGCTGGAGCGGAGCGGGGCCGGGGCGCGGGGAGGCGGGCGCAGCGCCCCGCCCGCGCCCGAGTGATGGAGCGCGTCTTCCGAGCATCTTCGAGCCCCGCCACCCCGCGGGCCGGGGGGAGGGAGCCGGGCCGGCGAATCAGCCCGCCCCCCCGTCCCTCCCCCACCCCCCGCGCCGGGGAGCCGCGATGGTGCGCTCCGGCCAGCTGTGCGCCGCCGAGTGAGGCGCCAGCCCGTGGGTGCTGCCGGGGGCGGTGGCGTGGAGGGGGCGCCCGCAGCTGGAGGCAGCGCGGGCCGCGGCGCTCGGCTCGCGGCGGGGGGCGAAGGTGGGGACCCGAGCGCGGAGGGCTGGCGCTGCTCGCGGCGCCGGGCCCGGCTCCCCGTCCGCGGCGGCCCTGCCACCGACCCCGGGTCCCCGCCGGCAGGAGCTCGGGGCGGACCGGGCGGCGGCGCTGCTGCTGGCGGCGGCTGGCTGGATGCGAGACCTGCGCGCACCCGGCGGCGGACGGCGGCTCTCGACTCCGGAAAGCGGATCGCGGAGCGGACGAGCCCGGGCGCGCTGGCCATGGCCTCCAACTTTAACGACATAGTCAAGCAGGGCTACGTGAAGATCCGCAGCAGGAAGCTGGGGGTGAGTCGCTCGCTCGGCTGTCTCGTTCCCTGCGCTCGCTCGTCCGGCCCGGCTGGCGGCTGGGTTGGGGGCGGGGGTGGGCGGCGGGGAGAGGTGACCCGCGCGGGGACAGGGCAAAGAGGAGCCCGGCCCTCCTGCGGACAGCCCGCTTGTTGCTCAGCCGGCCTGGGGGCCCGCACCTGCCTGGGGGCTCTGCAGACCGGGCTGAGGGCTCCGGCGGCGCCACCGCCCCCATCCTCAAGTGCGCCGGGCGGGTTTCGACCACACCGAGAAGTCAGTAGACGAAAGGGATCGTCAGCTCCAAAGAGATGTGCCTCGGTGGAGATTTATACCCGGTGCGGTCCACAAGGGTCTGTGCTCAAAGTGAGCGCCTTTGGGTCAGACCTGCTCTGTGTGCGGGAGCATGTGCGTGCGTGCGTGTGTGTGTGTGTGTGTGTGTGTGTGTGTCTTTGGAATCACCATTTTCTGGTCCCCGCTTCCCAAGCTCATTTCAAAATTTCTTTTTCTGTCCTGCCGGCGCCGCGCGTCCCTGCCGGCTACTGCAAGCGACTTTAACGCACCCTTAACGGCTGCCGGCTGGCAGGCCCCCGGCCCTGCGTGTGCTCCCGCGCGTGCACCTGCGCCGCTGTGCGGGGGGCAGGTGTGTGCCCACGCACTCGCGCGCTGACACCGGGGAACCCGCGACGGCAAAGTTTATGGAGACCTTTTCCCACTTTTTCTTTGGAGAGATGCTCTGCCCGACTTGGGAAAGAAACAATGTAGACCCCGGGGGTGCAAAACTTCGCTGGTGAACAGTTGAGGTGGGAAGAGGGACGTGCTGAGTAGGGGACCTGGGTGTGGACAGGAGGGGGCGGGAGAGGACGGGCTGGCACCTGTGCAGGGAGCGGTCCAGGCTGAGGACGCGAGGGGGCGGGACGGGCCACCACGGGCGGACCCCCTCCACCTCCGCCCCCTCCCCCAGGAGCGAGCGGTGGGGATGTAAGGTGACAACGGAGACCCACCAGGGCAGGCTGGTCCAGAAGAGAGAAGGGAGAGAGGAAGAAAGAGAGGGAGAGACCGACCGTTTTCCGATTCTCTGTTTGTCTCTCTACCTCACTGTCCTCAAAGTTCCAGTTCTACGAAGCTCTGGAATCCTGAGGCAAGGAGGCCTCGAGCTAGAACATTCCCTGTGTTCCCTGCCCAGCGGGTGAATGCTCCAACTTGAAGAAGAGAAGAGAAGGAGGGGAGAACTCCGCTCATTTTCACATAAGAAAAGAAAACAAAAGGAATGTAGAGAGTTGGACAAAGGTACAGTAGGGTCCAGAAAAGAGGGACGACGGTCAACACGCACCCAGAGGTCGCTTCGTCGGGAATCCGCGGGCCAGGTGCTGGGATCCGAGGAAGGGGAGGGCAGGCTTGCCTCTTTGTGCTGCCTCCGCTGGGTTTCACGTTGCAGGTGCAGCCTGTTATCCCGAGGACGCCAGGGGCCCATCCTGGAACCTCAGAAGATCTGCGAAGGCCGGGACGGAGGCTGCAGGAGGAAGCACGTACAGAGCAGGGGGACCACAACGCCCCTTCCCCCAGCCTGGAGCTGCGGTGCGCCCGCCAGGGCCGGAGAGAGCAGGCGCTGGGTTCAGACCCTCAGCCAGGATTCGAGGGCTTTTCTTGGGCAGAAGAAAGCGGCTCATTCTTTTCCAGGGCGATGAGGAACGTACCCACGGGGAAAGCTGCGCTTGTCCAGGAGGCCGGCTGTGTCCAGCAGCCAGGACGCAGTGCTCGGATCTGTCACCCGCACAGCTGTCAGCCCAGAAGGGAGGTGGGGAGCTAGAGCTGGAGGGGAGAGTCATCTTCTTCCTAACTTGACCTTTGAAGCCCTTTGCTCTCCCACCAGATGCTTGCTCATCCTTCTCACCCTTCCGCTTTCTTGAAATCGCAATTATGTCTGACACCTCAGGCTGTATAAACTGATGGATGAATTAAGTCCCCAGGCGAGATGCGTGTCTGGTTTCATGGAGTCACCTGTGCACATGAAAATGAAACCGAGGACTACAGCCCTGAGAATCCCATTCCTGCTAGTGCACTTGGCCTTGGAGTCTATGGGATTCTTTCCCCATCCAAGCTTTCCAGGATTTCATACAATGAAAACCAAATATGTAACCTAATTATAAGATGGGATCCAAGGAAAGTGCATCGGATGCTTCTTGGGTAACTATGGCATTAACGGCCTTTGAAGTGTCATTTGAGAACGTCATTGCCACCTAATGATGTGTGCTAGTGTGTGTTTCTACCTCCAAAGCGTCTTTTTCTATACTCACTGCTTAGAGCTTTGCCTTTGTAAAGTTCAGCCTTCACAGAAGACAATAAAAGCATGTTTATATACAAATTTGTTGCTTTTGTTTTCCATTTCTGAGAAATGTGAACTTCAAAGTTGCTGTTGAAACACTTTTGTTTTATGTTAATATTAAATCAAACTATTAAATTTGCCCTGAGTATTTGGAAAACATCATTTATTTTTTAAAAAAATTTAGAGACTTTTCTACTCAGAGTATTCTAATATTCAGAAGAGTGAATTCAAACGACAAAACTTCATGCATATGGTTCTGCAAAGCTTAATAAGTTGAGTCCCACAAAATAGTAATGCTAAGCAAGTATTGTGTGCCTTAAAAAAAGTCATAGTCCAAATGATTAAAATGGGAATGATCTAAACATTAATATTTCATGTGTATGCTTACTAATACGTATTCCTAATTTTATGGACTAAAAACTATGAACTTTTACAAATAAAATATTACTTTTAACTCTACGGAGACATGATGATTCTTGTATGATTTGTGTCCAAATCTAAATTTCAAAGCATAAATGATGCTTACTGAATTATGTATAGATATTCCATTTATTACAGACAAGCGTCATGCTTTCAAAAATCAAATTCTGTAATACTCCAATGGAAAAAAATTCCTGGGTATGGAGGCTAATTGCATCAGAGATAATTTTGACATGAAACATATTTTATGATGAATTGTTCTTATGTGCTCTTTAGTCCTCACAAATTAATGTTTAGTGTAATTCTGAATAAGGGCCGTAAGGCATTTCTTGCCCTCTAGCAGTGGGCCAACCCTTACAGAGGTGCTTCTAAGTTTAGGTGGGGGAAGAGTTCCTTGCCCTGTGTCTCCTTAGAGAATCCAGTCAACCTGTTGAATACTGTCCCTTAACCCACTGTTAGGGCAAAGCAGTAGGTATTGAAGAAATTTTGAGTGTTGGCTTTAAAATTTGTCTTGACTCATTAATCAGCTTTTTCTTCTGTTTAGGAAAATAGTTTTGAGAAATAAATAGAATCATTTTCTGAATTTTGCTATTGCTTTTTAAAATGTTTATTAAATCATCAAATTGTTATAGGTATTAAGTTGTTAAAAGTATAATGACATGACTAATGACATGACTTATAAAGAGTCATTTCTTTAAATTCTGTACTAGATTTTTGTCTTAATATACCAGTTTTTATGAATATATTGTTTGCAAGATTTAGAATTGTCTAGTTTTTCTACCCATTTTATCTGTCGGATGATTGGTAGTATAACTCACAGGGTACCATTGTGGTTAGTTTTGTTTTTTTTTTTAAGAAAATGGTGCCTGAAAACACTAATAAGAATAAAACAAATGCAAGCATATTGGTCAACATTGTTTATCTCTTAGGCTTGGTTACCTATTTTCTTCTGACCTCTGCTTGGTTAAATTTAGTAAGCAAGGTGTATATTGCAAAATATCCAATCTGTTCTTGGTGTGTGGCCAAATTAAGAACTAAATGATGGAAAGCATTGATAACCTAATACTTTGTGTATTGACATTATAAGTTTATCAAAAGTAAATGCAGCATTATGGAGTGATATCATCATCATCATCACAATCATCATCAACATTGTTGTACAAATTCCAGACTGCTAGATCTGACTAATTCTAGACTCAGGCTTCTCTTCATTGCTACCAAGGAATTCTATTCAAGTACATCAATGTGAATATCCACAAGACACATTATACACAGGCAGAATCATATTTTACACAGGCTTTTTTCTACTTCTTACTCAAAATTAGGTGAGAGATTAGTGGTATTGGTATATGGTATTGGTATAATTATGTGCTCAAGAAGTGTCTCATGATAAGGTGGGGTGTGTGTGTATTCATTTACACATTCAACAGATGATGGAATTATCCTGGAGTGCCTACTGTCTGTCAGGTGGTGTACACTGGTGTGTGTGTGTGTGTGTGTGTGTGTGTGTGTGTGTGTAGACACACACACACATGGATGCCTATGTGTATCACAGAGTCATGTTGTATTAAACCAGGGTTATTGACAATAAATAACCCCTACATTATTACTAATTATAGTACATTGGGCCTGTAATCATCACTTGTTCCAACTTGGTTGTAGGGGAAGGCAGGGAAATGTGGAGGAACACACTTGGAGTTGGAGTTTTTGATAAGCACTAATTTTATGAGCTTAGTATCTATTCAGAATTTTATTTTTGCGTATTTTCCATTTGTCGTAATAACTTATTATGGGTTCATCTACCTCTTGCCCTTTCTTCCTCCTTGACTAAAACCTTATGACACCTCTATTCCTGGCTTAATGGTTATTGATCTCCTTTCTGTAAACACTTTGAGTTTTTCATTCCTTTTACAAACAGCTTTCTTCTGACTGAAAACAGATGGAAGAGAGTAGTTGTTCATGAGAGATGATTATGAAAATTTACTCCTTTATAGAAGCTTACTCATTAAAATATATAGAAATTTGTGCATGTGGATTTGCATAGTTCTTTTGTCGATTAGAGCATTTTAAAATTTCTTTGTTTTCCCAAATCTCTAAAATCTATTTTATGAAGAGAGATTATACCTGGTATGGTATATATTATCAATTTGTCGAGAATTAGATGCAATAAATATATTTAAGATTAAATATATAAATAACTTAATAATTCTGACCATTCCAAAGTTCAAAAGAACTTTCAGGATCATTACTTCAGATA